AGGCTTCAGAAATGGGAGGTGCCGGGAGAGACTTCATTAGAACTGGGGCCCACATCGGGCTCTCCACTTAATGGGAGCCTGGAATCCAATTTGGCAAAAAGGTGCCTCCTCCCTTTACAAGATGAGGCATTCCCCCGGCCTTCTCTCTCCCCCACGTGCATTGCCTCACCTACTGAACAAGTCCCTTAGCTCCTTGCCCGCTCCCTGAGAGCTGTCACCTGCACTGCCTGCCTCTACACTTTGCCATCATCTAGCATTTTCTGACAGATGATGCACACGGTGGAGGACGTAACCTATCCTTGGCACCGGGGTGCCAGGAAGACCCCAGCTCCCCATCTGCAAATTTTCAGTGCCCACAATCACACGCCGCGTGCCACGATATGCTGAGAGCCATCGGGGTGGAAACGGGACACACCGAGGATACACCCCCTCAAAGGGTCACATGTCAACCGTCCTCACCATGCCCCGGCTGACTGTCAAGGATGAGTGTGGCGGGGAAGGGAGCGGATGGGGCCAGATGCAGTCTATCTGGGAAGGAGTGTGATGTAAGGTGTCTGCAACGGGGAAACAAATTTTGGGTTTCTGGTTTTTCTCAACTTCCAAGAGCAGTCTCAGTCAAAACATATTCCTTGGAGCGAGGCTCGAGATGCTCGAGATACCCATCATCTGCCCACAAGATGCAGGTCAGCATCGAGGTCATCCGTGAACTGAAAGTTTCTGGCTCTTCTCTGCTGCCCAAGACCCCAGGGGGCCCAGCTACTAAAATGGGCCCGGGAGGCACCCTGAGGAGACTAGCAAGGTTTTGCCTAGATACTGGCAGATGCTGGAGGGCTAGATGGTAAGGGTACCAAGAGATTTGCAGAGAGGGCGTCATACAGTAAGAAGTTGTACTTGCGTCCTGAGCGGTGGGAAGGGGGCAATGGGATCTGCTAACCCTGTCGTGGTTAACACGGTTAATACTAGGTTAATATGGACGGTGAACATGCTACACGGTTTCCCCTGGGCCCTCCTGCACCTCCCTGGGGACTGGGTCAGGTGGAAGGTCCCTAGACTCCCACAACACCTAGGATTTATCCCTAATGCTGTGTCTTTCGTGCTTTTTACTTAACCGACCCCCAACCTCCCCCCGCCCCCCCGTTAGGCAGCGAGGTCTTCACATCCTCGTGTCTGCGACAGGGTAGGTGCTGGATTCACTGAATGACCAAACAGCTTGTGAAACCACAGCAGCAGCCTTGCTGCCCAGAGATGCTCCTTACTGCCCATATACTGTACATCTACCCGTTGCCTTACACCTTCCTAAGAATGACATTTTGCGGGCACTTGCTGTGCGCCAGGGGCTGTGCTCAGTGTTGGTGGGGGTCCTCCACTCCTTGTCTCCACGCCTCTGAGGCAGACCACCAGCAGAGCAGCACTCCCGCCGTCCCCAACCTACCCACGAACTCCTCCCCCTCGGGGAGAAGTGACTTACCCAGTGGGATAACCGGCTTGAATCGGTGCCACCTGGCTTGTCCCGCAGGTCTGCGTGCTCACGAGCCGGGGGCACGCTGGTCTGCTCCCCGTCCTGCAGGAAGTTGGGTCGGGCAAAGGTGCCCGTGCAGAGGAGGCTTGTGGCTGCCTGGCTCAGACCGGGACTAGGAGGGTCTAATTCAGGGAAAGGCCCTTGGCCCCGATACACCACCACTCATTTATCGAAGACGTACATTTTACACATTTTAACATCTCTGAAGTTGGGATGCATCTTCCAAGCAGATGGCATGATACAGTTGAATTGGCTGTGATGTTGCTGAGTGGTACATCTCACACTCAATGGCATCTTTGATTCGAAGGAACATGGTGAGCAACAGTCTCCAGTCAGCCTTATCAAGAAGCTGGTATCTTGCTGTCCGTCTGTCCCAGTGACTAGTGCTCAACTGGTTTTGAGCACAGGAAGGGAGGAAAGGGCTGTCACGTATTGCCATCCCCGTCACCCCAGCCCCGGCCCTGAGCACTTCCCGTGGCCTGACGAAGCAAATAAAGAAGACACCTTCTCCATGCTGTGACCATGGACATCCCGGCCCAGGGAGTGCAGAAGCACTAGCAAACCGGAAAGGGCAGGGGCTCGTGTGTGTGTGTGTGTGTGTGTGTGTGTGTGTGTATGTGTGTGCGCGCGCGCTCAAGGGGCACTCCAGCACTCAACCTGCATCCCCACTCCGCCCTAATCACTCTCTTATCCCACTCTTCTCCCTTTGCAGCACACCGCAAGAGATTCCCGAACCCCACTCCTCGATCCTCAAGTAAGGGTTGAATTATGTCCCCTCAAAATTCACATGTGGAAGTCCTAACCCCTGGTACCTGAGAAAGTGACTATTCGGAGACAGGGCCTTTCCAGAGGTCATCAACTTAAAATGGGGTCATTACGGTGGGCCAGCCCAGTACTTCTGAAAGGGGGGAAATCTGGATGTGGAAGGCGATGTGATGACACAGGGAGAAGCCGGCCGTCTGCCAGTCAAGCAGAGAGGGCTGGAACAGACCCTTCCCTAAGTCCTCGGGAAGAGCCAACCAAGCCTGCCGACACCTTGACCTCGGACTTCTAGACGCCAGAACTGTGAGCGAGGAGCTCTATCCTGCAAGCCCCCTCTTGGGGTAGGTTACGCAGCCCCCAGGGGAACATCCCCCCACCCCAGCCACTCCCCCACCTTCTGCTCGCGAGACTTCTCTGTATTTCACACCCACACTCACTGCTCCTTCGCCTCGATGGCTGACTCCTTCCTGGCTTCTCCCCATTTCTCCCCTCAGGCTCTGTCTCCTGCTCTTCCTCACCAGACTTGGGCAGTGTCACACTTGCTCCAGAGCTCCCTCTCCTCCCAGTGCTCCTCAAGGAGCCTCCTCACGGAGGCATCAACTTCGCCCCACCCTGGCCCTCAAAGCTCCGTCTCTAGCCCGCGTCTGTGCCAAGTTCCAGACCCAGCACCCACGATCTCCAGGAGGGGCATCTCCACCCGCACCTCCCGCAAGACCTCAAACACATCTAAAATCTAGTGTGTCGTTTCCTGCCTTCCCCGCACACACCTTACCTGACCTGCTCCCCTCCCCGTGACTGTCTAGCTCAGAAAACGGCACCATCACCTGAGTGTTGCCTGGTGGTGGGGAAGGCGATGGAAGGCAATGGAAGCCTTCTTTGGTTTGCTACTTCTGAGACCAGGCTGCCCTCTCTAGACTGGGAAGCCTTCCATGCCAGGAGTCATTCAATTAATCTCACAGACCTCAGACACACACTGGAGACACCCCACGGGGAGTTGGGGGAGGGTGGAAACCCTCCCCACATAAGCTCTTAACAGTTAAGCAACTGTCACTGAAAGAGGTACCATTATCACAGACAAGTTTTTATTATTTTGTCCTGCATATAGAACCCAGGAAATATAAAAACATCTCCAGAATTAGTCAAAGGAACTGCATCCCCAGCCAGCCCCTGCCCTCCCTGGATGGGCTCAGATGGGGGAGCCGGAGGGTTGCAGGCCACTTCCCTCTGTCCAGTGAATAAATTCCATACAAAAATAGATCTGTAAGGGCTCCCAGAGAGCCATCGGCCTGCATCTGCACAGGGCAGAGGCCTGGGAGCCCTCAGGATTACGGGACCTCGCTCCTCGGTGGAGGGGAGGTCTACCCTGGACACCGAAGTCCTGTCACCACAGCCAGAGGGCCCTTCTGCAGAACAGCTAGGGGATGGGGAGGGGCCTGGGACCTTCAGAGCATGACTGATGGAGCTAGAGATGGGGATGAGGCACCCTCCACCCAAGAAGGGACACCGGTCCCCTCTCCAAGCTTGGGTGGGGGGAGGGGCGAGCCTGGAGGGCACCTGGCAAGGGGCCAGACCCTCCAGCCCCGTCAAAGGTAGAAGCAGGATCTCAAGTTCCCCACCCCCCCCCCCCCGCCCGCCACCCCACCACCGCTATACCCTCAAAGTCACTGACTGGGGCAGTGCTTAGGAGGTCAGGAGCGGAGGGAGGGGCTCCAAGGAGAGAAGAGCAGCTTCTGGCAGGGCGAGGCCAAAGGCACTGCTGTGAGGCACCGTCCCCCACCATGGGCGCTCCCCAAAAATGCGCTGCATCTTCCAGCCTCCAGCCTCCTCCTCATGCTGGCCCCTCTGCTTGAATGCCTCTTGTCCTAGGCCCTCCGCCTTGGCCTGTGCGAAACTCCACCCACGCTAAGGAAAGACAGCCCCCACACCCACCTTCCAGGCCTTATGCATCTGCTCTCAGCCAAGAAGCCCTTCCAGACACACCTCCGTGTACACAAATCGTGAGTGTCCATCTGCCCTCTGGCCCAACGGCCCACAGACCCCGAGGTCTCCCGTGGGGCCTGGGGTATTTTTGGAAGGTGCACCTGTAGTACTTCTCGATGCCCGAGCTCATCTCCCCACTTAAGCTGAGCCCTCCAAGGGCCAAGGCCAGCTCTGTGTCTCATTCACACCCTCCTCCTTCCCACCCATCTCACCCCACATACAGCCAAACCCAGAGTAGGCATATGCCAGGGATGTCCTGGACAAACTCAGCCCCTGGGACCCTGTCCAGATCCAGCTGCCTTCCTGCCATCCTGTGAAAGCCCCGGCCTCACGATCACCACTGCCTCTGGCAAGCCCTTCTGGATAAGGAACTCAGGAGTTAGCTCAGTGTGGCCACTCCGGCCAGAGGGAGAAGGCGCTCTCCCACGGGAGGCTGAGTGGTGGCCAGGAGACAGAATTTGCAAGAAGGGGTCACCTCAGAGCACCCCTGGGCTACCTTGGGGGGAGAGTGTTGGTGTCACAAAATAGGACCAAGGACCCTCTCTCCAGAGCCAACCTCATCCCTAGACTGGGAGCTGGGGGCATGGGTTCTAACTCCAGCCCTGGCCCTGACTCCTCAACAGGCCTCGGTTTTTCCTATCTGCACAGTGCGGCTCAGAGCCTGTCAGAGAGAGAAAGTCCACCTCTGAGGCTGGAAAGCAAAGTTCACGGGTCCTCTGAAGAGAAGATGTCTCCCCTCATGCTCTCTGCAGATGTCCGACCAGTGAATGTATAAAAGGAATGCAAAGGGGAGGCCACGATGGGCCTCAGGGGAGCACCAGGACCTTGATGGCCTAGTCAGGACCCTCACCCTCACCCTGAACTGTCAGCCCAAGGGCAGGGGAAGCAGAAATCAGCTCCTGAGTCTAGGGCCCTTGGGGTCCAGCCCCTGAGTTCAGCACCACCTCTGCTGCCTGAGCCTCAGGACCAGTGTGCAGACAGGGCCGAGCCCAAGCGCAGGCCCTTCAGGATGGGCTGCCGGGCAGTTGGGGTCCTCGCCAGGTCTCACAGAAGCCCACTAGGGGCCCGTGCCGCCAACCGGCCAATGGGTCTGTGGGGCAAAGGGGCACCCACTGGGGTAGGCCCCAGGCCCCAGTGGGTGTGGAAGACAGAAAAACATGAACCAGGTGATTTAAAGCTACATTTCCCCTCCCCGCCCTGACCACCTTGGTCTCTGGGACCAAATCTCAGGGGTTCTCCCCAGGGATTTAAACCCTTTGGCCCCGGGGGACGGAGTCAGCAGCCAAGGTGTCCAGACTGGGGAAATGGGAAGGGTAGGCGGAGGAATGGGGGGACCGCGGTCCCGAACAAGCTCTGGGCCTGAGTGTAGGGAGAGCATGCTCACTTCCACACCCGTGGAGCGCAGCTGGCCAGGGTCCTTGGCAGGGCTGGGGCCGCTCACACCTGCACCCCCTGGCCTTGCATCTGGAGCACTCGCGCCCGCAGCGCACTGATCCCGCTGAGGAGGGCCTCCCGGTGTTCGGCCGAAGAGATGCCCAGGCTCACCAGGTCCCTGAAAGAAGGGCCGGTCAGACCCAGCAGGCTCGGCCCTCTTCCACTCTCCCTCCCTCTGTGTGGACAGGGGAAGGGTCTGGAATTAGGACAGGCAGGGGGTGAGGGGGGGGGTACCGGGTAGATAGGGGCAGGGCCCCCGGGGTTCCTCGGACTCACTGGGCGCCCATGGCAGCCACGGCCTCCAGGCTCCCAAAGCCACCTGCAGCAAAGCTGTCCTTGTAGCGGCCCAGGTCCAGGGCCTCCAGCCATGCGCCCACGGAGCCAAAGGAGGGAAAGGTGGAGAAGGCACGGTCTGCCAGGGGGGTGGGAGGCCTGGGGAGCAGAGGGGCTGTGGTCAGTTGACAGCAGGGATCTGGTGCCCAGACCTGGTCACTCTCCTGAGGAGAGGCCACCTGAGAGAGGACAGGAGACGGGGAAGGCGACCCAGCCCCAGGGTGGACGTGGCTGCATGGAGCATGAGGCACCCCCAGAGCAGGTGAGGGTTTCAAGATACCAGTCAGGTAGGTAGAGAATGGATTGCACCTGAGCCAGCCAAAGGTACTGGGAGGATCTGGAACAGTCTGGGGGATAGGACACACCTCAGACAGTCTGGGAGGTGATCTATATTATATCTGGGGCAACTAATACTCGTTTCACTTATTCTATTTATTGCAACTACAAGCTTGTCAGAACTATTTCCACACACATTCACCCAGTCAGTGACCACGGTACTGGGATGTGTGAGGCAAAACCCAGGACAAGCAGAGTGACTGAGATGGATGAAAATGTACATGAGTCTGAGGCAGGCAGAGTATTAGCTCTATCTGGGGCAACTGGGTGAGCAGGCGTAGCTGGACGGGTGGGGGAGGACGGGGTCGGGGGGGGGGGGAGCAGGACAGGTGGGGCAGCTGGATGTGGGCCGTGTGGGGAGGCCACTCACGGAGAGTGAGAGGTCAGCCGGCCGGATGCGGCGTGGTTGGGGATAGGCGGGAATGTGCCTGTGACAAACGAGGCATCGGCTGTACCTGGGAGAAGTGGTCGCGGCACACTTTGGGGGTTCTGGGTCCTGCGCCATCTTGCTCAGGATGCTGTGGATCTGGGAGAACCTGGGTCGCTCGCCTGGGTCCTTCTGCCAGCAGTCAAGCATCAGTCGATGGAGGGGGGAGGGGCAGTTCCTGGGGGGTGGCAGCCGGAAGCCATCCTCCACTGCCTTGATCACCTGGGCCACGGAGGTGAGGGGCAGACAGGAAGCTTTAAGTCCCTCCAACGCATGCGCACGTCCCATCCCAAGGAAGACTCAGGCAGTGGCCAGGCAAGACCGGAAGCAAGCAGACAGTGAAGTGGGGTCTCAGGCTAGGAGGTCAAGGGTCACTGGGCAGGGGTCAGGAAGTTGGGGCCTGAGGTCACTCACGTCTTGGCCAGACATGTCCCAGTAGGGCCGCTCCCCAAAGGCCATCACCTCCCACATGACGACACCAAAGCTCCACACATCACTGGCAGAGCTGAAGTGTCCAAACTGAAGCGTCTCGGGGGCGGCCCACAGTGCTGGGCTCCGGCCACTCTGTGGACGGACAAGCACGTCAGGGGCAGGAAGGGACCGGCCCAAGTACACCCGGGGCTCCCCGCCCCACACAGCCCCAGATCCAGCCCCGCCTGCCATCCTCTCAGCTGCACGTCTGGGGAAGGCACATAAGCTGACCAGAAAATGAGGCCCACGCTGGCCTTTACTCGGGACCAACTGGGGGCAGGGACGGGATTGCAGGCAGCGGCCCTGACACAGCCAGGAAGAGGGGAGAAGTGGGTGAGGGGGACTCTGGTGCAGTCTGATGGGCAGGTCTGTCTGGGAGACGGGAATCCTCACCATGGTGGTGTAGACAGCCTCCGCTCGGTCCCGGGGCCCCCGTCCAAAGCCAGAGATCTTGCAGATAAGGCCACTGCTGACCAGCACACGGCGGGCCGCCAGGCCCCGGTGAACGTAGCCCATTTCCGACAGGTACTTCATGGCTGACGCCAGCCCGGGCAGCAGCCCCATCAGCTGCCCGGCCACCAGCTGGCCTTCGTGCCGCTGTGGGAGGAAGTGCTACACACTCAGTTCCCTGGTGCTGTGTGACCTCAGGGAAGTTACCTGGCCCTCTCTGGGTTTGCCCTGTGACCCACCAGGCCAGCCTGGCCAGTGGGCACCTTTTTAGGGAATGATGCCAAGTGCAAGTCCCACCAAAGAGAAAAGTGAGGGACGAAGAATAACGTGGCTATCAGTACCCTCCCCGACCCCAGCGACCCAGGACACTCACCCTCAGGAAGCCGTCGAGGGCCCCATGGCTCATGTACTCGGTGACGATCATCAAGGTGCTTCCTGTGCCCAGGGAAGGGGAACACACCCACTGAGCTGCCTGCTCCCCTCTGCCTGCACACGTGCTCCTCCACCTGGGCCCCAGCCCGGGGCCAAGACGGCCAGAAACAAGTTTCCCCAGTCGTGTCACCCTCCTGCGGGGCCCAGGATCCTCTATGCCAAAGAACAGAAGAGGAGACCTCCGTAGGAGGACCACGGTCAGGAGCTGCAATAAGTTTGCTAAGAAAGATCACCCAAGGTCCAGGCGATCCACCCCACAGAGTCACTGCAGGTCAGAAAGGCCTTTCAGGGTCGGAAGGGCCCCCGAGTCAGTGAAAGCAAGCTGAGGCCTTCTCTCCATCCTGGGCGGCCTAGGAAGGGCCTAAGCCTTCCATGGCTGAAGGAAGGGCACCCCACCTCCACCCCGTGTCCACCCCCATACTTGCGGAGCACAAGACCTTACCTCGGGTGACGACACCCTCCAGCCGCACGACGTGGCCATGGTCGAACTGGCCCAGGGTGAGGGCCTCGGCCAGGAAGCTGAGCCTCTGAGAGTCGGAGCAGCCGTCCCTCAGCGTGTGCACGGCCACGGGGAGCTCCTGGCGGCCAGGGAGCTGCAGACAGCCGAAGGACAGCTCCCCGAACCGCCCTGTGAGGAAATAGCACCTCAGACAGTCCCCCGGAGGTCACCCGCCCCCCAGCCAACCCAGGCAGGGTGAGCTGAGGCGAGAGCAACTTTTGGATCACAGGCTCTTCTTGACCTGGGACTCAGAGCTCCCGAGTTCAAATCATGTAAACCGAGTACCAGCAATGTGACGTGGGCTTCCTCTCTTTCCTCTCTGGGCCTCGATTTTCTTCCCTGTGAAATGGGAGTTCCTCCCGGCCCGCCTCAGCAGGAGATTTCAAAGACTCCCAGAGAGGATACTGCACATGCAAGTATATCAAAGGCTATTAAAGCCCAGGGTGACCCAGGAAGGGTGACGATGACATCTCCTCTGCCACACTACCCCTTTCTGGCTTCTATCCAGTGGGTCTGGCAACAGTGTCGGGGACAGTGTCTGGCTCCTGGTAAAGTGGCTGCCTTCTCTGAGTCCAGGGGCTGAGGGTTTGCAGATGGGAAGGAAGGAGGCCAGGAGACTGAAGAGCAGAGGGCAAAACACCTGCTATGAGCCAGGCCGGGGTGCTGAGGGCTGCAGAGTCCCCACCTCGGCTCTGCATGAGGCAGCTATTGCACCCATTTTACAGACAAGAAACAGGTTTGGAGCAGAAAGGGCACGCGCCCCTGGTCACACACCTGGGCAGAGGTAGAGCCAGGGCAAAAACTGAGGTTTGGTTGTCTGGTCCCAAGTTTGCAAAGGCCCCTCCCCACTGCCCCACGAAGGCCCGGGACTAAACCTCTGCCAGTGGCAGTCTGCAGAGGCCGGCTGGAAAAGGGCAAGAGCGGGGAGGTCTCAGTGACCTTGGGGACAGGGAGGGTAGGAAGGCAGGGTCACGGACTCCTCTGCCATCCCCTTCCCTGGAACCTGGTGGGCGGAGGTCCCGTTCGGTGTGGAGCTGGGGCCTCCTGGCCAGGTGGGGACTGGGGTGAAGGCAGGGCTTCCGGAAATGGGGGAGGGCCTCGGGGCAGAGGCGGGCTTGCAGGATGGAGGTGGGATGGAGTGGAAGGGGGCGGTTCTTGGGCTGTACAAGGGTCCCTGGAAGCCCAGCTTGCCTGCTCCAAGGCTTCTCTCCAGTGTGACGGTTTTTGCATCCAGCTCCTTGGCAAACAGATGAACAGCCTGCAGCGGGTCCCCACAGCTCTGGGGGTCTAAGAACGTGCGGCGTGTCGGGACTTTGACTGCAATGCAGAGAGAGACAGAGATGGGCCCGAGGAAGGGGGCCCGGGGCCGGGGGGGGGGGGGGGGGAGTAGTTACGCAAGCACAGCAAGGAAGAGGGCTAAGGAGGGGCCAGGCAACAACTCACAGTGGAAGTACAGCTCCTCCTCGTCGTGGGCATCCTGACCTCCTTTGCCATAGGGGCAGGGCCTGCGGAGGTGCAGAGTCCTTCTCTGAGCTGGGCAGCATCCCCTTCCCATCTCACTAGCGCCCAGGGTGGCACCTCCTTATCCCTTCCAAACCACAAGATCTGTGCCCCAGATTTGGCTTGTCCTGCTTTGAAAGCAGTCAACCTATAACCCTAGCCCCAGACCTAACCCCTCATCCTAATTATTCCTAATTATTTTCGCTCTGAGACACAATGAACGTTCTTGCAATTCCAGAGGTACCCAAATCCATACCCCCGACTTTGAACCCAAGCTGCCTGCCTGCCTACCGGTGAGCAATCCAGGTGGCCCTTGCACTCAGGGGGGCCTTGGTCTAGCCAGGGAAACAAGCACTGAGCATCAGTCACAAGCCTGCTCACAGGTACCAACAGGGGAGAAGGGCGCAACGTTGTGAGAACACACGGCGGAGGGACCTGACCCCCTAGACCATCAAGGGCGGCTTCCTGCAGAGGCAGTCATGGACCAAAGCACGGCATCACCATCAAAAGCACCACAGACTGGCATTTGGGGCCCCTGAGGCAGGGCCTTGCTGGCCCAGAGGAGAGCCTCCGGGGTGCCAAGGTGTCATGACTCAATCTGTATTTTAGAAATACCATCCTGGCTGCAGCTGTGGCCCCGCAGGAGCTGGCCGTGGCTCAGGCTACAGGGTGAGTGTGGACACAGAGAACAAAAAGCAAGAGGACACAAGTGACGTTTAGGTGACAGGGGCACAGGGCTCAGAGATTGCTAGAAGGCAGAAAGGGGGAGAGAGAAGGGAGGAATGACTCTTGGTGTTCAGTTTGCCCACCTGTTCATGGTGGTGCCATTTACCAGGACGGGGTGGCAAAGGGCTCGTGCTGAGCCGGTAGGGTCTGCTGAGCCTACAGAGTAGGCAGGGAGGGGCGAGGAGTAAGGAGTTAGAAAGGAGTGTGGGGGGTTTGGAGGAGGGGTCTGCTCTGGAGATACAAGTTTGGGAGCTGGGGGCATTGTCCAGGAAGACGACAGAGCCTGGGAAGGGGGACTGTGAACGAGTCTGAGGACCCCAACACTGAGAGATCGGGTAGAGAGGAAAGGAGCAGTGGAGGACATCACAAAAGAACCACCAGAGAAGCCAAAGGGTAACAGAAAGGAAATCAGGGGTGACACTGTCACAGGAACGAAGGAAAGAGAAAGTGGAGCAGAGGAGAGAGACGGCGTGAAGGCTCCAAGGAGGGGCGGTTAGGGAGACTGGAGAGAGAAGATCTGTACCCTTCTGTACAGATGGGAAAGGGGGAAAAGGCTGCCATTGAGGATAAAATGGTCACGATGATGGTCAGTAGTCCAGGCTCTGGAACCTCATGCACAGACTGGCTTCCCAGCCCCTCCACTTGGTAGCTGCGGGACAGGGAGGCTGGGATTTCTCTTTAATAAAATCGGGATCAAGACAACCCTACCTGATACAGCACTGTTGCACAGAGCTTGCTAAGCAGTCAATAAATGTCAGCTGTTATGTGGGGCGGGGGGG